GCCTTGGATAATTAAATAAAGTGCAGTGTGCCCTTTTTATTTTTCCTAAGTTGTGCTATCCCTCCTCACCAGCTTTATTGCATTTTTTTTTATCTCCTTCTTTGTAATAACTGTTTGGGTTTCTGGCTTTGCTGGCTCCTTCAAGGCTCCCAATCTCTGATCTCAGAGTCAGACATGGTGGAGTATTATGTGGAGTGTAATGAGTCTGCACCTTCTTCTCTTGCCATCCGTCCCACCCAGCCAGCTGTTAAGTGAGACTAATTTTAAATATGGATTTAGTAAGAGGTAGAAAACAGTACTTTAGAACAGGTTCACTACTATGAAACTGGAGCCTCAAAAAATAGCTAAGGCTGTCTTTTATAAGAGTTAGGGGTGAGGTGAAGCAATATCATGAAGATATAGCAAAAATCGAAGGGAGAAGAGTTGTTGGACAAGTTTATGTTTAATGCAAGTGGAGAAAGGCCCTTTGATTCTTAAGATTTTAACTAAGCAGCAGTGATGAAAGATGCAGGTACTATGTATTTATTTGGGGATTTGTAGCCTATTTAGGATGGATTTGCACCTAGCTGAAGTGCAGAAAAAACAATTACTATCAACCTGCCTTCGATCGAAGACCTGTATACTGCATGAGTCAAAAAGAGGGCTGTAAAAATATTTACAGATCCCTCACATCCCGGACATAAACTGTTTCAACTCCTTCCCTCAAAACGACGCTTTAGAGCACTGCACACCAGAACAACTAGACACAAGGACAGTTTTTTCTCAAACACCATCACTCTGCTAAACAAATAATTCCCCCAACACTGTCCAACTATTTATGGAGTCTGCACTACTATTACTATTAATCTTCTCATCACTCCTTATCACCCATCCCCTTCCACTTGTGACTGTATGACTGTAACTTTGTCGCCTGTATCCTTACGATTTATATTGACTGTTTCCTAGTATGATTTGATTGCTTATTGTACCCTATGACTATCATTAAGTGTTATACCTTATGATTCTTGACTCTTGACGAATGCATCTTTTCTTTTATGTACACTGAGAGCATTTGTACCAAGACAAATTCCTTGTATGTCCAATCACACTTGGCCAATAAAGAATTCTATTCTATTCTATTCTATTCTATTCTATTCTATTCTATTCTATTCTATTCTATTCTATTCTATTTGGAGATTCTTTCAAGAACCATGGCACAAGGTGTTAGGAATTGATAGTCACCTAACAGTTGGGTTGGAAATATATAAACCAGGGTAGACATGGAGCCAGAAACCTTGGTTGTTAGTTCTGTTGTTAGTTGCTAGTTGCTAGATGTTCTGATGGTCGATGTTCTTTGGTTCCTGCATTTTTCCCTATTGACTGTTGCTGATCGTTGTTCTACTTGGATTGCTGTGAGTCTGTTACTGAACTGTTTATGATCCTGGACTTTGTTATTTGGATTATCCCTGGACTAAATATTGACTGCTTTAACCGTGTATGACTTGGACTGCTTGTTGGACTTTGCTTAACCGTTTACTGGAAGTAAAACCTACATTTTACTATGCAGTGTATCTGTGTGCTGGTTGTGTGTTATTCAACATCACTCTCACTACGTTTCCCTGTGCGCACTCATTCTCCTAACAGGGAATTACCTCAACACTGACCCAAACCTTGTTCCAAGGAAACAAACACGAAACAGGTAACAGCAAAACCTTTTAATGATTCTTTATGAATTCCATTCCTTCACGGTTAAAAGGCTATTTCAAACTAATTGTCTCTGATAAGGTATATAACACAACACAAGGTATATAAAGGAAAAGGATCTCAGATAAGGAATTCCTTGTGTTGAAATAAATCTTACAATGCAAAGCTCTGAGAGAATTGTCTCCAAATTCTTGTCTCTAGTCAAAATAAAGATTTTGCCTGGCTAGTAGGATTGGCACCTCCCTAAGCACAATAAGACATTGTCCATTGAAAGTTGCTATGATGGTCCAATGCCTGTTGGAGCCAGTGGTGGGCTGAAACCAGTTTTACAACCAGTTCTGTGAGTCTGCGCTTTGTGTGCTCGCAGCATTCAAAACACAGCAATTTGAACCTCAACTGCTTACTTTCTAGGGCCATAATGGCAAACCTATGGCACACATGCCAGAGGTGACACACCGAACCCTCTCTGTGGGCACACGCACAGGCCAGCTGGTCTTCAGGTTTCTGGTGCTCTGGCATGTGTGAAGACCAGCTGGTCTTTGGTTTCCAGTATATGCAAAGGCCAGCTGACCAACATGCGCCTGCACACCAGCCAATTGGTCTTTGGGTTTCCAAAGCTCTAGCACACGCAAAGACCAGCTCACCAGCACACACATGTGCACCGGCCAGCTGGTCTTCGGTTTCCAGTGCTCTAGCATGTGTGCACATGTGCCCACGTGCCTGTGTTCCGGTTTGGGCACTCGGTGCCAAAAAGGTTCACCATCACTATTCTAGGGTGTCCCCAGTAAGTAGAACAGCTGAGGTGCAGAAATCAGCTGTGCCGCGTGAATCAGCTGAGCCAGAAAGGCAGAAATATAGGACAGGATAGGGTGTGTGTGTGTGTGAGCGGGGCCACCTGATAATCGGAACTACCGGATTGCTAGAACCGGTCCAAACCAGCATCAGCCCACCACTGTTTGGAGCTCGAGGAGCTCTCCCAAACTGTGAAACAGCCCTTCACAACAGAGTACAAACCAACGCAGAACAGGGTTCTTCACCTGCCAAGCTTTTCTTTCTTTCTTTCCAACAGTATTCAAAGCCATAACAGATAACAGATAATCAGAGTTGGAAGGGACCTTGTAGGTCTTCTAGTCCAACCCGCTGCCCAAGTGGGAGACCCTACATCTATTTCTGACAAATGGCAGTCCAATCTCTTCTTGAAAGTTTCAAGTGATGATGCTCCCACAACTTCCGAGGGCAAGCTGTTACATTGGTTGATTGTTCTCACTGTCAGAAAGTTTCTCCTTATTTCCAGGTTAAATCTCTCCTTGTTCAGTTTCCATCCATTGTTCCTTGTCTGGCCAACAAATAAAAAATAGCTTGACCCCTTCCTCTCTGTGGCAGCCCCTCAATTATTGGAAGACTCCTATCATGTCTCCCCTGGTCCTTCGCTTCACTAGACTAGCCAAGCCCAGTTCCTGTAACTGTTCTTCATATGTTTTAGTGTCCTGTCCCCTAATCATCCTGGTTGCTCTTCTCTGTACATTTTCTAGTGTTTCAACATCTTTTTTATAATGTGGTGAACAAAACTGAATGCCGTACTCTAGGTGTGGTCTTACTAAGGCTTTATAGAGTAGTATTAGTACCTCACTTGAACTCGACTGTATCCCTCTGTTAATGCAACTTAGGGTTGCATTCGCTTTTTCGGCTGCTGCTGCACACTGCTGGCTCATATTTAGCTGGTTGTCCACTAAGATTCCAAGATCCCTCTTGCAGTTACTGCTATTGAGCCTGGTTTCATATGTGTACTTTTGGTTTTTCTTGCCTAAGTGTAGGACATCAATGAAGAAATCCAACATCTTCAGAGTGCAGGCTGCAAGCCATTAGAGCAGATTCAAAGTTTCCATTCTGAATCTCTTTCTCCTCCTTGTATACTATGACATGCTGAAAGCTTGTCAGTTTGTGTATTGTTATGGTGACAGACCAATCCAGTCTCGTGTTGTTTCCCTCTGACTTTGGCATTTCCCACATCTTTTTTCCAGCACAGAATTTCCACTAAGGCGACTAAAGCAGTCTTTGCACTATATTGTGGATTAACTATATTTAATCAAGGTATATTGGTTCTCATGTAATGTCTACTTGGTCAGTGATTGTTCAAACACACAGTGGTGCTGAACAAGTGATATTTATGATTGGTTCTCGTACTTATGGTTGCAGTGTCCCATGGCCACTCGATGGCCATTTGTGACCTTCTTTGTCAACTTCCTACAAAAAAAGTCAATGGAGAAACTGGTGGGAGGTTACAAATGGTGATCACAAGATGTCCTTGCATAAAGAGACATGGTGCTTCACTTATCAACACTAAATGGGAGTGTCATAGGGGTTATGTCTGCTGTGTCGGGCAGCACTGTCCCTCTCTAGAATTCATCTCCATTGTTCTATGATGTATTTCCTGCCTCTGTAGGATTTACCTCTATCTGCTCCTGTGGGGCAATTTCCTGTTCCTATTATTTGTGTGTGTGTGTATTCCCAATGATGGCTTATGACTTTTAACTGCAATTGATTAAACTTCTTGAAACATGGTGTGCTGGAATTTCTGTTGCCAAGAGGTACAGTCACATGACATTGCACTTTATAACTATGTCCCACAGTGATGAAAATTCTAGCCCCAATTATCATTAAGTGAGGACTACCTGTATTAATGATTTCAATTTCCAAAACAACTAACATTAACCCTTGAAACCAAAAAGAGGAAGAATACGTACTGTTATTGGCAAAAAATCAGAAGCCAATAATATAAGTCAACTCTCTCCTCAGGTAGAGATGATTAATAACAGCCTGTGTGAGTGCATATGATTTAGATAATGTCAGCTTAACTGCTCCATACGTCTTGCTACTAAGGGCATGAGCTCCACTCTTCCCAGCTGCTGATGAGCGATGTAACTACATGCCACATCACCTCATCATCTGCTGCTAGGTTTGTGGAAGAATTAAGACCACCTGCTGATTTAAACCCTCCTGGATTTACATCTGTTTCTTTCTTCCCACCTCTGCATCAATTATGCAGCAAAAGTATAAATAGGTGCCATCTTGTGTCTTGATGGCACTGAAACCACAGGCTTGTTAACAAGTGTTCCTGGCAGTTATAATCCAATGTGTGGTAAACCTTGTTGTCAGCACTGCCAGCATTTGACAAATTGCAATCGTATAAAAGATGTTGTATGAGAAATGTGTTGGCAGGATAACAAAATTCAGTTGGATGCTAAATACATATATCAGGATTGGTGAGCTTTTACCAGATTGGGATTTTTCTTTGCTTTGCTAGTTTTCCAGAAATGGAGGCATGGGCTTTGTCTGATGAAACTCTTTCTCATTTGTTACAGATGTGCATCTGTTCACTATACTGCAGATCTGCCGGCCACAAGCATTATTATCACTTTTCACAATGAGGCTCGCTCCACTTTGCTCCGTACAGTGAAAAGGTACCTCATATTTTTTGACTTAAGAGTGATGGACATAATGTATGCAAGAATTAATTTCCGCTGTGATTAATGGTGTTTATTCTGAGTAAAAAGAGAACAATCCAATATTGGAATCCCAGGAACACAAGAAAGTCTTGTTGAACTCAGCATGACATATGCCTGACTAAGGTAGCCTCATTTGACTGTTAAGCTCTGTTAATATTAAAAGAGCATCTAGATAAGCATTTGTTCAGATCCATGGGCTATTTATTAGACAATGCAGCCTTAGCCCAAATTATCATCCTTCTGGATTTGCAGAGGAATGGCTTTTCTGTAATCACAGTGTGATTTTTAAACAAAACAAAGACATTAATCCTATATTTTCATCTCACCCCTTATTTTTAAATTAGATGTTGCAAATCATGATCATCAACTACTACTATTTCTAATAATAATATTACTTGGAACAGCTTACATCCTGTGACTGAGACCTTTAACACCATCAAACAACAGCATCTGCTTATCCCAGGTCTATGGGAAGGATTCAATAGATTAAGAAAAATGCCATATCCAGTCTAAACATCTTGTGACCAACCATAATAATAATCCCCCCAGTGAGGCACTATCTTGACATGGTTGTGGGACTTGTGTGCTCTGAAGAAGATGAGAGCTATGGCTGTTGTTCAATGATATTGGACAGGTCTCATCAGAGGAGCCAGATGAAGAGAGTGTTTCTTTCCTAAACAATATAATGAAATGTAATTTACAGAAACCCATGCTACAATAGTCATCACCTGGGTCAACAGGGATTATGTTAGAGTTCCTGGACATCTGATGACAAATTGGCTATAGGACTTGTAGACCAATGTCATTCTTTAATGTAAAATAAAGTACTCACAGCATCAGAATTGGAAGAACTGCAAAGGTCTACCCAGGGCAAAGAAACCAAAGCCTTGCCAGAAGTAACTCAGACTGTAAAGGCAAACTAGGGGGAGTTCACAATAGGAAAAAAAAACAGTATAACTTTTGAATCATTTTCATTCCCAAACATGGTACCTTCTCCTCTGCCTTCTCCTCAGAAAGAACAAAGCCCTCTAACTAAAAACTGAGCATTTAGAACAACACAAAAAGATTGCTTGCATTGAAACTTGTTCCAAAGGAACAAATAGCACAAGTATTAAAAGGTGCCAAAACTGCAATATCAAATATAAGCACTAAATCATTGCAGCAAACAAACCAGCTGATATGCAGCACAGCTACAGTTATAACTGAATATCTTGGATGCAAAATCAATAAATAACAAAGCCAAGCAGTCACTACCAAATTGAAAGCTCAGGTTAGAAATAAGATCAGTGTTCTTGCCCTAGCTTCTGCCAATCTAGTAGTTAGAAAGCATGCAAATGCAAATAGATAAATAGGTACCACTTCGTAAAAGCGTTCTGTGTACCTTGCTGTTCTGTCTCACCTGTGACTACGAGGCGAGAGTCCAAGCCTCCAAAGGAATATAAATAAACAGACAGGACCAGGAACGATAGAGTTAAATTCCTTTGACTGGAGAAGTTCCTTGGCAGTCTTCCATAAGCTGCCTGCCAAGTCCGATAACAAACAAGACCATAAATCAAAAGGCAGACACCGCACAGAGGATTTATCCAAGCTACTATTCCGAATAAACAAATTGTCCCGAACGAGTATTCAGAGCTAACATGCCCTCTTTTATTTCCTGAGGGGCGTGTCAGTCTCTCAAGTCATTTCCTGATTTGACATTTCCTTTTACGTTGCATTTCCCTCTTCTGCCTGCGTCTTTGCCTTGCATCAAACCAGCATTCCTCGGCTTTATCCTCAGCCAAGGACTCCGGCACGCTCTCCTGATTGTCTGCCGACACCTGAGGCACAACCAGGGAGGAAGGTCCCGGGGAGGGAGATGATTCTGAATCCTCCAGCAATGCAGGCTCAAACCTCAGAGCCAAGTCTTCTTCTTCCTCCTGGCTCAAGTCTGTGTCTTCCAGCAAGGCAGGCTCAAATCTCGATGCCAAATCCCTCTCTCCCTCATTACTTAAGTCTGTATCTTCTAACAAGGCAGGTTCAGACCTCCGAGTCACAACACCTTGCCATACAGTCATGCTGACCACGAAACCAGGAAAGCATCTTCAAACAATCCTGGCTTGCTTGGCTAAGAAAGGGAGATAAGCACTGCCCCCTAAAGTCAGATATGACTTTTACCTTTACCTTTGCTAAAATTAGATGCAAACAAGCTAGAAAAGATGGGGGGGAAGAGAAGTTGAAGGAAAAGATCAAATAATAACTGATCAAGATGTATCACCTAGAAACCAGGAAGATCAAAAAAGCACTGAAAATAATAAAGCAGCCAATGACAGCTATAGCCAGGAAGATCAGCAAATACAATTATCAAATTGGACATTATAGGCAGAATCTCCAATTTCAGTTAAATCAGAAATGTTTCTACCAGTCCATTAATGGAGGGATGGCAATAAAACAGTCAGCACCTGATAAAGAAGACACTGTGCAGTTCTGGGTACAGCTAGGGGCAACACAAAGAAATACAAAAATGCAGCTTGGAAAAAAGGAGATAAAAAGAATAGAAAAGAAGCTGAAATGAAATCATTTGAAATAAGGGCAGAAATGGCAAAGAAAGGGGCAAGGAAAATCAAGAATTGGTCCACTGGGTGAAGATGACCAGCTGGTTTTTTTTATATAAACAACTGACTAGTCTTCACATACTTGTTGCCAAGCAGTTTCACAACATACTTTAAGGAAGTGAAATTGAAGACTGGTTAACATTTAGTAAAACCTACTTGATAATAAAAACTGAAAGAATCAAGATGTCCCATGGAAATAATATAAAGCATCTGGATGAAGACAATCACTACAAATACTTGGGTATCCTTCAAGCTGACAGCACCAAGCACACTGGAATCAAGAAGAAGGTTAGAAGTGAATACATCATGAGAGTGAGGAAGAGTTTAAAGTCTAACTCGGTGGAAAAAATACCATCAAGGCAATTAACACTTGGCTAATTTCAGTCATTAGACACACTTTTGGAGAACTAAGCTGGATAAAAAGACTGAAAAAATTATAACAATGAATCATGCCCTTCATCCACACGGTGATGTTGACAGACTCTACTTATCAAAGAAAATAGGATTAATGTGGAATGTTGCAAGTACTCCAGGCAACTGAAGAAGAAAAGCGTGGCATATGAAGAATATCTAAAATCCGCCGAAGCTGGGACATTATGAAAATTTACTGAGTACTTGAGAGATCAAAAAAAAAAAAAAAAAGCAAACGAAGAACAGAAAAGAGACAAGGCAAGGCTAAAAATTTCATGGCCAATACATTAAAAAAAAAATCAAGCAGGCAAAGCAGGTAACAAGACTTAGGAATGGAGAAGAGCAAGAAAGTTGAAGAAAGAGACAGAAGGGTTAATTCCAGCTGCATAACACCAAGCCTTAAGAACAAATGCATACAAAGCCAGAATTGAGAAGACAGTAACAGATAGCAAATGCCGTCTATGAGCTGAAGAAACAGCATTAGTTGCTGTTGCAGCATTAGTTGCTGTTAGTAGATAACACAGACTGACTATAAACCGTAGTCAGTCAAGCATTGAAATATGTGCAAGAAATATCATTTGCTTGCGGACTTCCGGTTTGAGCTTCTTTGGCGACAGACCGAAACCTCGTCTCTCCGAGGCTTTGATCCATGCTCGCCGCTGGAGCACCCTGAGCCAGCTGGTTTCGGGGCTAAGCCACCCCGTAGAGGTGGTGAAGAGGGGGGAGACTGCCTGCAGGGTTGAGAAGAGTTGCATCTCTCCTCCCCAGCTGGCCATTACTCCCTTTCCTGAAGGCGGTTGTAGCGGTGGTCAGAAATGGCCACCACAGAAAAGAACTTGACTGGAAAAGAATGTGCAGGAGGAAGATAAGAAGAGAAAGTTTTGGTTGACCGGGTCAAACAGCAAAAGCAACAAATAAGGTACCCTGGAATTTAAACTTAACAACATTGTTCCCAAAGAAGATTTTGAAGGAGAGAGAGAAGGGAAAGGATTAGTTTTTTTTTCTTCCCTTCCTTATACTGACAGCTAAGAGACTTAAGCAAGAAACTGAAAAAAAAATCCACTTTGACATTAATAGGCATCTAAGCTGAAAATAAAAGTCAAAGGGATAAATAAAGATTTCTGGACATTTAAAAGTTTTTAAAAGCTGGAAAGGAGAAAAAAAAAGAATAGAAAGGCAGGATCTGGAAAAATGGAGGAGACTGCCTGGAATTAAGGAATGGAACTGTAATTAAAAGGAACTTACAGTGAAATTTTAACAAGATTCCTCAAAGATACATTTTAATGGAAACTTGGTAACAAAACAATAGAACCCCAGGAAGAGAAAGTGGAAAAAAGAAGCAAGTAGAAACAGCCTTGGATTATTTGGATTACTTGGTGATTTTTGGTTTTTGCATCTAGATGACTAAAATTAACTGGATGGTTGTTTAAAAGTTTTTAAAATGGTATCACTCTTAGAAGAACTGAAAACGGAACTTTAAAAATGGAAAGAAGACGCACAAGAAGGGAGAAGTTCTTTTGGCTTCGTGTTTCAATTCTTAGAAATGGAGATCTGGAATTATGAGAAGCAACAAGAAACGCTTGCAGAACAAGAAGATTGGGACAAAGAAGAAGCCATCTTTAATGATCAAATAATTTTAAGTAGGGGGAAAAAAGAAAAGGGGGGAAAGAGAGTAAAAGGTTTAAGATTAGAAAAAACAACCAAAAAGAAGAACAATTTGAAAGATAAGTATAATATTAGAAAGCAACAGAAGAGGGGATTACAGATGAGAGAGTTAGAAGTAGAGAGACGAGGGGGTAAAAGGGGGAGGGAGAAGAAGAGGGGGAAGAAGGCAAGAAAAAGAAGTTGTAAAAGACAGAAACAAGAAATGGAGAAACAGGGAAAAGATATAAGGATTGTAACCATAAGTTTGTTTAGAGATAATGGGTGAAAATTTAATTGTAAAAGGGATTC